AGCACTACTTTTCAGCACAAAGTAGATGCTCAGTAACTTTTTATTGGCTAGGTGTCGACGGAGTGTGAGAATGGAGTGTGGGGGGCCCAGAGAGGGAGGGGTGTGTGGGCCTCCACCAGGACCAGCTACATAATTTATGGGGCTCAGGGCAAAATGAAAATGCAGACCCATAATAATGTTCAAACATTATTATGAAAAACAAATTATGAATTTCATATTGACCCAGCAGAGCATTAAAACAAGCCCTTCTGAGTATGGGGCTCTGTGTGACTACACAGGCCACCCGCCCGTGCAGCCAGCCCTGGCATCTCCTTCCCTGGGAAGCATGGCCAGCCTGCATCCCAGCTGTTTGGGAGGGAGAATAAGAAGACCCCCGTGGCCTGCCATGCTTCCTGGGCTGCCTGAGGAAAGGAGGGAGGGGCAGGATTGCTCAATGTAGGCAGGTCAGGAGAAAGCAGATGCAGGGACCCAGCGACCTGCAGACCTCTCCCCCAGAGAGTCCCCTACCACCTCCCCAAACCACCAACCAGGCCGCTGGGTGGTCTGGCACATGTGGTCACATTTAGATGTTGATTGAAGCAAAATTGTTATAAGATTAGAATATTTAAGGTGACTTTCATTTCCACTGCATTACTGGGATTTTTGAGGGTGGGGCTGAGAGATCTCCTGGGGTGAGTGAGAATAGTGGGGGATGCAGGAGGTGGTCTTCATTTCTCTAGTCCTGTAGGCGGGGCCTCTGGTGACTGAAAAGAAGGAAGGAGGGCTAGACAGACAGAAGGACTTCCCAGGAATTGTAGAACTAGGAGTCTGGCCCTTTAGCAGAGGGGGAAGTCAGGGCTGGGGATGGAGGATGCAGTATTAGCAAGGCCCTGGTGGAGCAGGAATTTACCAGCACCACACCCCCTCCCCAAGCTATTTGCACACCCCTGGCCACACATCTGTGCAAACATCCTTCCCTCCCCTCAGCTTGCCAGATGGAAGAGGTGGCAAGAGGAAGGTTCATCCAGGCCCTCCCCAGGTTCCAACCCAGGGTGGGGTGGTTGGAGCCCAGAGTGTTCTCTTATTTCTATAGGTCAAGATAGAAATTGAAAGCCCTGGCTGGGTAGCTCAGTTAGTTAGAGTGTTGTCCTGATACACCAAGGCTGTGGGTTTAATCCCTGGTCAGGGCACCTCAGGTAGAAGCATCAACCAATGAATGCATAAACAAGTGGAACAATACATCGATGTCTGTCTCTCTCTCCCTCTCTCCCCTCCTTCCTGTCTCTTTCTCAAATCAATTAAAAAATATATTTTTAAAAGGATAAAAATTGTGAAGAAATGGGAGGATTGTGGTAACAGTGATAACAATTACTAACATTTAGTCGTTCCTATGTGCCAGGCTGTGTTAAGTATTCACTGTCTTTTCTAAGAGGTCGTGTAGAATGGTGGGAAAGGGGAGGACTAGGGAGCCAGCTGCCTGGACTTCCTGCTCACCCACTTCCCGGCTATGCCTACGTGGGTCAGTCAGTTAACCTGTCTGTGCCGCAGTTTTCCCATCTGCAGAGTGGGGACAGTAGTGATACCAACCTCAAAGCGTTGTTGTGAGTGTTAAATGAGTTACTTCATGTAAAGTGCTCAGACTGGTGCCTGAGTAAGAGCCCGCCCTTCAAGGTTTAGCCCATGTCATTAAGGACTATCATCATCCTCCTTTTAAAGGGGAGGAATTTGCCCTGGCCGGTTTGGCTCAGCGGTTAGAGCGTCAGCCCACAGACCAGAGTCCCGGATTCGGTTTCCGCTAAGGGCACGTACCTCGGTTGCTGTTTGTCCCCAACCCCGGTTGGGATCATGTGGGTGGCAACTAGTCCATGTGTCTCTCTTACATCGATGTTTCTCTCTCTCCCTCTAGTTCTATCTGAAGATAAATGCAAAAATGTCTTCGGGTGAGGATATATATATATATATATATATATATAAAAGTGGGGATTTGAAGTTTGGAGAAACGCCCAGTCACAGAGAGGCAGAACTGGGATCCAAACCTGGTCTGCTTGACTCCTCAGTTCATGCTCCGAACCACCAGGCAGGTGCCAGCCCCGCTCAGCCAGGGACTGCACTGAGCAGGTTATATGCCTCATCTGGTTCAGTTTAACCACCCACCCCATTTGATACCTCTGCTCAGGCCTAGAACAGTCCTTGAATCATTTCTGGCCAGCCTTTGATTCTTGTGGCTGAGGGAATTGAAGCCCAGAGAGACACAGCAACTTGTCCAGGGCCACATGGCAGGTAACCACAGACAATGCTGACCCACTGAAATCCAGACACCACCAGAGACAGACCAAAGGTGGAAGGCCCTGGCAGGTGGGATAGGGAGCCTGGCGGGAGTCTGGGCTGGCTTAACCCAGAGGTAAGCCTGGGTGGGAGAGTCTACAGATTTCTGGCTCCAGGACACTCATTTCCTGCCTTGAGGTTTGCTATGCAAAGAAGCAGCCGCGGCAGGGTCAGGGCATGGCTGTCTCGGCCTCTGTTGGAGGATGGGCAACTGAGCCCACCTGGAGTGTCCAGTGACCACCAGGGCCACAGGACAGCAGGTCAGGCTTCCTAGAGCAGGTTAAAAGGAGGAGTGGGAACCCTCTCTCCCTGCAGGGCATTCGGCAAGGGAGAAACAAGGAAGGTACATACCCAAAGACCCCTTGCAATCTCCCCAGTCTGGGCGGTAGGACAGGAGTTGTAGGGAGGGTGTGTGCCCCCTAGAACCAGGCCAGGGGTTCTCAGGAAAGTTCATGAAGTAGCCAGGAGAGCCAGGGGTGAGATGGTGGGGACTGGCTGAGTGTCTGTGTGTCTGGAGCTCATGGGAGCCCCTTCCTCAGCACAACACCCCCCCCACTTGCCTGCTCGCTTCACTATCTCCCCTTCACTGAGCCCCCCCCCCAAGAACAGCTCACCTCAGAGCTAAATGTTCTATGTGGATTCAGGGATTTAATCCTCACAACAAGCCTATGAGAGCTTTTCAGATGAGGAAACTGAGGCTCCAGGGGTTAGGTAACTGGCTCAAGGGCACACAGTTGGTGAGTTTGGGCTCTTGGACTTGAGCCCAGGCAGTTTGACTCAAGTTCACACATCAACCTTCAGCCTCGGCTACTTAGCTCTCGCCCCCTCCCTGAACATTCAACTCCCATCTGATCCCCATCAAGGGCCTAGTTTTCACACCAGCTCTGGGAGGGAGCCCCAGCTCCCCACCCCAGCCAGTGTCCTCTTAGGCACCTGCCAACCAGTTCCCCTCCCCTTCCTCACGCAGTGCCTCAGCCTGGCTCCCCTATAGTCCCTCTGGGCTGGCTTGGGCCAAGAGGCCATACCCAAAGACCCCTTTCAATCCCCCAATCTGCGTGGTGGAACAAGAGTGGGCCCAGGCTCTGGAGGTGGGCGAGGGTGAGAGGCCCCACTGAGGAGTGGCGGGGCTGGTGTGTACCTTGGCAGGGGGACAGCAAAGTGGGAGGCCCTCGGAGGGCAGGCGGGAGGAGGGGAAAGGGGCAATGGAGGTAGGCCCAGACCCAGAGACAGGCAGCCTCGGACCTTCCCTGCTCCTTTTCTGGACCTGTTGAACACACACACACACACACACACACACACACACACACACACACCCCTCCCATCTCCCCTTCTCCTGGCCTCAGTTCCTCCAGACTTCCCTGCTGTACTCACTGCCTCCACATCTAACCCTGTGGCTGGTCCTCTGGCTCCTGGAGCCTGGCTCCTGCCTCTACCTCCCACCTCAATCACCGGTTCCTTCCCAGTCCCAAAGGATGCTCTTCTGTGACAACTGACCCTGGAGGCCTCTGGGGCCCTCTAGCAGCACTGCCTTTGCCTTTTGAGTCACTGCTCTCCTGGCTTCCTCCCACTTCCCAGGGCACCTTCCTGCTCTCCTCGGCAGACCCTCTTTCTCTGCACGCCCTTTGAATGCTGACCAAGCCCACATCCTGGCCTGGGCTTCCTCTTCTCCCTGTACTCCTTCCCTGGGCATTGCCCCGCGGCATCAGTCACCACCTGTACGGCCTGCACTCCTAATCTCTAGCCCAGAATTCTCACTTCCCTTGTGGATTCATGGAAGTCCCACCGACACCTCCAACTCATGCATCCGACCACCCTCCTTCTCCTGGACTGCCACTTGCCCATGGCCCATTGCCTAACCAGAAACCTGGGCACCGTCCTTGATATTCCCCCTTTACTAGATCCCTCACCCCCATATTCAAATCCTGCCTATTCCACCTCCTTAACTCCTCTCACACTTGACCCTTCACGCTGGCCCCTCCTCCCTGAACCACCAGGATTACTCCAGCAGCCTCCATCTTCCTGCACACAGAAGTCAGGGGGCTCTTTATAAAGCACAGCTCTGACCACCTCACCGCGCTGCTACGGAGCCTTCTGTGGCTCCCATTTCCCTGAAGGTGAAGTCTAACCAGCTCCAGCATGGCCTACAAGAGCTCGCAGCATCCCTCTGAGCACAGAGGCTCACCTCCCTAAACCCCAGTGTGCCCATCACGACCACCCCTCCGGCCTCCCCCCAGTAAGTCCTCCCCCCTCGGCCCAGGTCACCATTTGCAGGAAGCCTTCTGTGGCTGCTCACTGATGGCCACAGCCCTGTGCTGCCCCTTCCCCCGCGCTGACACCCCGCCCTCCGCGCGGCCGGGTCAGCGTCCCCTAGACGTAGCCCTTGAGGGCACGGCGCCCGGGCCGGTGCACGAGGGAGGCCGACGAGCCGCCCGCGAGCTGTGTGGCTGTGGGGTCCCGACGGGTCTGGGGGAGGGAGGCTGACGTCGAGGCGGGCCGGGGCGCGGGCCAGGCGGGGCGCGGGCCTTGGCCGTGGCTGTGGAAAGAGGAGGGCGGAGGCCCCGCCCCGCCGAGCCCCTCCCGCCGCCGCCCGCCCACTCCGGCAGCCGCGAGGGCGGCCGGCAGAGCGACGCGGAGCCCGCCGGCGTGGACCCCGACGACGGCCGAGCCGAGCGCCCTCCGCGGAGCCCGCGCCTGGGCTGCCCTCGAGGGTCGGGAGCGGCGCGGCCGCCCGGCAGGTAAAGGCAGGCAGGCTGGTGCGGCTGCCGGGTCGGGGGCTCCGAGGGCAGAGCCATGCTTCCCCCGCGCTGTCCGGACCGCTGGGCCGGCGCCTCCTCGGACCCGGGGTGGGCACCGGATGGGGACTTGGGCCAGGGGTCGGCGGTAGGATGAGGGAGCCCCTCCACTTCCCTGCGCCCCGTCCCCCTCCCCGAGTTGCCCAGGCAGAATCCCAGATACAGCCCCTCCGCCCTCCTTCTCCCAGAAGCGGGGCTCCATCATCAGCCCCGTAGACTCCCTGACGATGTGGCTCTGAACATGTCACTGCTCCGGAGTCTTTCTTCCCACCTGTGAAATGGGAATGGCAACGCTTCCTGGGCAGGGTGATGGGTGATGGAGGAGAGAGGCGGGCCTGACGGGCCTTAGAGGGCCCTCCAGCCCCAGGCAGGGAAGCCCCCGAGCTCTCTCCCTCGCCTCTCTCTGCCATGGCCGGTTTGCTGGCCACCTTCCTGTTTCTCCGTTTTCTGCTTATGTCCCCACCACCTCCTATTCTAGATGTCCTCGCAGCAGCCCCCACCCCCAAACGGGAGACTGAGGTTCTGTGGAATGTCCCTGCCAGAGGCTCAGCACCTCCTCCCAACTCCGGACTGAGACTTCACAGGGGTGGCATTGGGGGCTACGGCCCCAGAACAGCCTCCCCAATGTGTCTGTCTTGGGGCTGGAGACACAGGGAGTCCCTGGGCAGAGAAATGCTGTTCAGCCAGAGGAGCCCAGGAATTGGGAGCTGGGAAAGGCAGGCCCTCTGAGTCTGCTTGTTGTGTGTATGTGTTTCTGGTGGGAGCCTGTCCGTGTGTGCATTTGTGTGTGGGGGGTGCTTTGGAGGGGGGAGCGAGTGTCTGCCAGTATGATCTTTTTTTTTTATTCCTCACCTGAGGACATTTTTCTACCCATCATCAGATAGAGTGGGAGGGAGGAGAGAGAGACAGAGAGAAACATTGACATGACACAGTCACATTGACGGGGTTGCCACCCCCGCCCCCAAAGGGCCGCAGGGCCGGGGATAAGTGCAACCAAGGTATGTGCCCTTGACCAGAATCGAACCCGAGACTCATTGGTCCATGGGCTGACGCTCTAGCTGCTGAGCCAAACTGGCCAGGGCTCTGCCAGTATGTTCTTAATGTGTGCGTCAGTGTGTGAAACCCTCAGTGTGTGTGAGAACATGCTAGGTTCCTGACACAGAAAGGCCGCTGACCTCCTTCAGGGGAACCCTGGCAGCCCACACGTCCTTCCTCCTGGCTGCTTCTTGCGAAGGCCTGTGCCTTGTTTGGTGGCAAGAGTCCATCTCTCCCCTCCTTGGAGTGCCCTTAGCAAATGTGGCTTCCCAAGAGCTGCCGGGAGCATTTGGAAGGTCTGGGCGGTGGGCTGAGATGGCTGGAGGGGCAGGAGACCTGGAGTCCCTCTCTGGTGACTGATCCCCACTGCCCTGAGCAAAGGGGGGCCCTCAGGGAGCCCAGTCTAGAGCACAGGAGAGGAGGTGGGTCTGAGAAGTCACCGTGGGAAATTGGCTATCTCTATTAGGGCATAGATGTCCCCACTGGCCTCCTGCGGGGCTGGTGAACGGCCAACAGACCTTTGGACACACAATCACCCCCAAGAGATAATGAGGACACATCACAGACATACTCACACAGTCACACACAGCTACACTCCCTCCCACTGACAGTCACACACATGAACATGCTCTCCTGAACCACACTCCACCAAAGACGCTGAAACAATGACAGGACATGTGCACACACCCAAACTCCTATAGACACACAGCAGCCCATACGGCCCAGCCAGACATACTCAGACAGAGCAACCCACTCATATACCCTCACCCTAGCACTGACACTCAGACACACCAACCAGGGACTCTCTCCGGCTTCACAGTGTCCACCACAGAGAACATGAGTGTTTCTACTCTTTGGCTCAGAGGAAGGGAAAAGAAAAAATGGAAGTGGATGTGCCTGCTAGCAAGAGAGAAGAGAAAGATACCACACAGGGCTGTCGGCCTGAGCACCCCCCACTACCACCCCTGCCCTGGCCAGACCAGAGCTCAGCAGAACCCTAGCTGCCCTGCCTTGCTGCCCCCGCACTCCAGACCCCTCCAGTGGCAGGCATGGGGTTGCCCTTGTAGGAAAGTGAGGGATCAGATGAATTGGTCCCATTTGTGACCTGAGGCATTTGCAGAGGGGGTGGAAGAATCAGAGGCATAGCAACCGCTTATGAGGGGAGCAGCCGTGTCTCAGGGTGCCCATGGAGTATACCATGCAGGCCAAAATGTTTCGGGGGGGGGGCAGCAGCTGGCTAGAGCATTCAAGAACAGAACTTTGACATGTGCAGGTGGTGGAAAGGGTGAAGGGGAGGGCGTTCCAGTCAGAGGGAACAGCATGTGCAAAGGTGTGGAGGTGGGAAGCTGCAGAGTTCCCTCAGGGGACACTGAGTAGCTGCTGGCTCACACAGTGGGGCAGTGAGTGGGAGGACGGACAGCTACTTGGAGGTCAGATTTCCAAAGGCCTCGTCCAGAAAATGGGTGTGAGCTGCAGAGTGGTACAGTCTGGCTGTCACTGATTTCTCTGGGGGTCAAGAACAAAGGGGATCTTATAGTCAAGAAGACTATTGTCCTAAGGAGGAAGGTGCTGGGAGCTGAGGTTGGTGGTTACCATGGGGATGAGAGGAAGAAATAGATGGAGAGGAATAAGAGCAGAGACTGGACAGGCCTTGTGACTGATTGGTTGGGAGATGAGCAGAGGGCAGGACCGGAGCTGTGCACTAGGCGACTGTGGTCTGTCTCCAGAGGAGGCAGGTGAAGGGGAGACAAGGGTTTGGACCCCAGGGTCTGGTGCTGGGATGGTGGGGGTCTGGGTGTTGAGTGTGACCATGAGTTGGACAAGGGAGTAGTATCTGGGAGGCCTGAGGTGTGTACAGGAGCCCAAGTGGGAGTGGGAGGTCACATGTGTACACGAGTGCCCAGACATTAGCTAGAGAGGTCACACTCCCAGGAGGGAGGTCACACTCCCAGGAGGGAGTTCAGGCTCGCTCTGTTCTGTGGGCATTTGCAGGTGGTGGTGTGTGGACAACAGATCCTGAGTGAAGGCAGTGCATGTGGTGAGGGGAAGAGATGGCCTTGGGAGTCAGACAGGCCTGGGTTACTTTCCTTGTGACCCTGGGTAAGGGACTTCCCATCTCTATGCCTCAGTTTCCCCACCTATCAAATGGGAATGCTAACAGTTGTCTCCGGGGTCATTTTGCCTGCAGAGGGGTGAGGAGGGTCCCAGCTCACACAGCACCTGGAACTTTCACCCAGACTTCTGATCAATATGTTATACCTCTCTGATTAGATCCTGAGAAGGGACTTGGAAAGTTCTGAATTGAGAGGTGACTCTCCCCATGCAGTCCGGATGAGCTAAGATTTCTGGTTCTTGGAGGCAGAAGAAGGGGGTGGCAGAGGGTTAGTGCCTCATGGGGAGAGCCACGCCAGCATTATGGGCTCATTTCACGGATGGGCTTATGGAGACTCAGAGAGGAACTTGCCTGAGGTCACTTAGCCAGTGACAGGATTGAGACCAGGGGCCAGGACCCTGGGCTCAGGGCTCCTTTCCTCCCAGAGGCTACCCCTCCCCCCAGTACTGCGGTGGAGGGAACCTTGTCACCTGAAGTTCTCTAATTTCAGTTCTTCCTTCTGTCCCAGTGGGGGAGGGGAATAATAAGAGTTTATTGGGCACCTGTTGTGTGCCAGGTCTATGTCTCATTTAGTCCTTGTAACAGTGTTGCAGGGCTTGGTGGCCCATTTAACAGAGAGGGAAGTGGAGGCTCTGAGAGTTTGGTAACTGGCCAAGTGCAGCCTTGCTGAGTGCTGGGCTGGGACTCAGTCCCAGGTCTGTGAGCACGCAGCTCACATTCCTCCCACTGGCCCCTGGTCACTGCTCTCTGCTTGGTGGCGGGGAAAGGAAAGGAAGCTCAACTGTCGAGCACGCACAGTGCACCGTGCATTTCATAGCACAAGGTGCTTTTTGGGGGCCGGTGAGGAACATGGGGGAATAGCAGGCATGGGAAGGTCAGGCCCAGAGAGAGCCCAGAAGAGTAGGGGCTGGGATGGGGCTTTCTAGTATCTCAAATGCACTGTCCCCATGAGCCCTGTGAGGGAGGGCAGCCTCTGGGAGGAAGGGGTCCTGGTCTCTGGTCTCAGTTCTGCCACTGGCTGCGGTGCAACCTCAGGGGAGTTCTCCTCCGGGTTTCCATACCCCCCTGTGAGATGGGCCAGCAATGCCACCCTGGCTCTCCTTGGTGAGGAGCCTTGGTGAGGAGCAGTGTAGGTTGGGGGGTGGGGGGTCATTTCTCCTCTCCTGAAAGGTCTGAGGAGGTCTTCCACGGCCGTCTGACATTCACAGCCCTCAACACCCAGACATTTTCTGTCCTTCCCTTCCACTGTGGCGGCTGCTGGCCGACACGCAGCTCTGCGTGAGTCCTTCAGGCCATGCTCCTTCTGACAGGGGACCACGGCTCAGCTCATGGCAAACATTCTTTTCATAGTTCCTGGAGCACAGAAAATCCCGCTGCTTAGCCAGGAATGCAGAGTCCCTCCTGCAGCGGCAGCAGGGGCTTGGGTGGGGAGCCCCTGGGGGTGAGGCAGGAGGGGCTGCGGAGGTGAGGAGGACCCCCGCCCCACCATGCCTCGGCTCCGGGGAGCTGTGAGGCTGTCCCCATCATCTGTGGACTTGCAGCTTGGGTCCAAACTCTGGGACCATCCACCACTGGCTAGTTGCGTGAACTTGGGCAAGTGACCTCTCTGGCCTTGGTTTCTTCACCTGTAAAATTGGCTTTATAATCTAACCCCACAGGGCTTTTGAAAGGTGTCGTGGTAATGATGATTATAATAATATAATAATAGTGAACATTTGTTAACTGTTCCTTTACATCAAGCGCTGCTTGAAGTCTCCTATATGAAATTAACTCGTTTAATCCTCAAAAATGTTCTAAGAAGCGGAGGCGCAGACGAGTGAGATCATGCGGCAATAAGAGGTAGGGCTGGGAGGAGGATGGCCAGAGCTGGGCTCATATGGTTTTTTAAGCAAGACTCAGCCCAGGGCCTGCTCGTGGTAGAAGCTCAGAAAGTGGGGACTTCTGCCTTGAGTCCATCTCTGGGAGAGGCCGACTGTTGGCCTCATGGCCATCGGCACCTCAATTTGGAAAGTTGGGATGAGGAAGCAGACCGGGGCCCTGGCCAGACTCCCTGGGAGCCCTGCAGCTCTTAGAGGCTGGTGGGGGCAGGGGGTGCATACTGTCCCCCCCACATCTGGCCTGGAATTTAGCTGGTGCTAGGCTCTGTGCAAGGAGGAGATATCACCAGGGGAGGGGCTCAAAGAGGAGATTAGGGAAGTCAGCTGGGGGTGGAGGTTAAGAACAGAGTCCCATTGAAGTTGGCTCAGGCACTGCCCTGGCACACAAACCCACCCAGCTTCCGGCTTTGTAGTGGGGGGGGGCTTGATCAACTGGAGTGGGCCCCTGAGGCCCTCGCTGGGAGCTGCCCACTCCTGTGAGTCCATGTTGCCTCTTGGTTGAGGCAGCACAGGTAGGGGTGGAGAAGCGGGGAGAAGGACCTGTAACTGAGGTCTCCAGAAAGCCCAGTGCACAGGGTTTGGCCATTTTGTGGGGCTGGGCAAGCTCCAAGGTTCAGAGCCGGCCCTGGTGCTTCCTAGCCCTGTAATCTTGGAGAATGGATGTCACCTCTCTGGGCCTCAGTGCCCCTCCTCAGAAAAATAGGACAGCCTCCTTATGGGAGACTGTGATAAAACCGTGCTCGGAGCATGCCAAGTACTATGTCTGGTGCATCAGATGTACTTGGGATTTAAAGGACTAACATGGGCGGAGGGCATGGGAAGCCAGCTTTAAGCTGGGCTCAGCTTCTCTCATCCAGATATTCAAGGCATTTCTCAGGCTGACCCCAGCCAGCCCTTCTTGTCTCAGATCACCTGCATAGTGGAGAGGTTAACGGCCCAAGCTTTGGAGTCAGCAGCCTAAGTTCAAAGTCAGGCACTACCCCTTAGGAGCTGTGTGACCTTGGGCCAGTTACTTAACCTCTCTGTCCCTTCGTTTCCCCATCTGTATAAAGGGAAAACAAAGTACTTACTTCACTGGATTGTTGTAAGGATTGAATTAGACACTCTGTGAGATCTCAGAACAGTGCTTGGCATGTAGTAGATGCACAATAAATGTTAGCTGTGTTTAATTAGTTCATTTGTTTGTTTATTTTTTTATATCCACCCCAAGCTTTCACACCTCCATACCCTCACACATGCTGTTTCCTCGGCCTGGACTGATTGCCTCTCTCCGTCATCACCTAGTTAAATCTGTGTTCCTTCTCCAAAATCCAGATTCAATATAAGTCACTTCCCCTCCCCAAGCCTCATGGAGGGGGTAGGGACTGGGGCCAGAGAAGCTGGGTTGAGTTGGGCAATAGGACCTCCTATCCAGCTCCACCAGCCAGACTGGGCCCTCAGACCCACCTGTGGGGTCATGGCATTCAGATTGGTAGGGATGGAGACAGGGCTCAGTGAGTTGAAGAGAAGGCCTAGGAGCCGCTGGCTTCGGCATCTGGCTGCTTTCACGGTGAGAGACAGGGCCAGGATGTCAGAGTTTCCATGGGAGCAGGCAGAGGCAAGCAAGCAGCTGAAGGAGAGAGTGACGCGGCCGGTAGGTCTCCCTGCCAGGTGGGCTGACTGGGTGTCCCCTCCCCATTCACCCAAGAGTCACGCCTGGCCCCGGACTTCCCTGTGGACAGCTGTGTGACCTGGTTAAGGGCTGGCGACAGCCTGGTATCATGGTTGACTGAGGCAAAAATGGGAACCTGGCCATTCAGGTTCCTGACTATATCACCTCCCTACTCAAGAACCTTCTGTGGCTCCCCAGTGCCTTTCTGAGGAATGCAAGCATGGCATTCAAGTCTCCTCACTAGGTTGCCTCAGCTCCTGCTTGTCCTTTCAACCCCACAGCACTTCTGGATCTTCCCTGTATCTGCCAAGCAGCTTCCTACTACCAGAAATTTCTTTTCTTACTTTGTCTGCCTTTCAGACTCCTACTCATCCTTCAGGATCCAGCTCCAATGTCCCTTCCTACATGAACCCTTCTGGGGAAAGCCAAGGGGGAAGCAGTGTTACCTTCTCTGTGTTCCCACAGCCCAGAGATCTTAGCCAATTGGGTAGTGGTTACTTGTCTGATGCCTCTCTTTAAATCAGGGCAGGGCATGGGACTGGGCCATTTCTGGGTCCCCTGGCCCAGCCTAGGGTTCCCTACACAGTGGGAGCTTCCCCAGGCAGGAACTCTAGCCTATAGTGGGAGCCACCCCAGCCCAGGACCTGATATATAGTAGGGATTTCTGTAGTATGAACACTGGCACACAGAAGGGGCTTCCTCAGCCTGGGCCCTAGGACAGGAGGAACTCTATCAAGTCAGGGCCAGGCACCCTGTGGACATGGCTAAGTATGCATGAAATGAATGAAGGGAGTCACTCCTGGCTTCCTGAGAAGAGAGACTGAGGTTGGGGCCAATGTTCCAGCAGGGGCTCTTGGTGAGAAGCCCATGGCAGGCACTGGGGTGGCTGTGAGTTAGGGCAGGAGGCTTCCCGGGCTCCTGGCGTCTTCCTCACTGTTTCTCTCTTTCGTCCTCAGGCCGCGCCAGTGCTGGGACCTTTAGAGGCCCCTCCAACCTGAAAGGTAAGCTAGGTTTGGGGGCATCCAGCCAGGAACATCTCAGGCTGGATGAGGCCATTGCTGGCTGCTGCCTCACCATGCTCCCTCCTGCCGCAGCGGAAGCCCCTCCCTGCCCCGGGATGTCCAGCAGGCAGCCCTTCTTGCAGGTGACCTCAGCTCCCTGCGGCCCGGGCTTTAAAATCTCGGCCCAACTCGGAAGCAGCTTTTTCTCATTTGTGAACTATTTCTCCCTGACTCCTTGGCGTGGGCCTGTGTTTGCTTGGCCTGCTCGGGTGCAGTGGCCTGGCGGTGCTCCTCCCGGGCCCCCTCCCTGCCCAGCCCCTCCTGCCGCCACTGCCGCTGCCGCCACCGTGTGGGGAAGCCACGAAGGCCCAGGAATTTTGGCAGGCGTGGGGAGGCAGCGGGCAGCGGGTGGCGCTCCGGAAAAGGCTGCAAATGTGAACCAGAAGGCGAGGGATTGGCAGCGAGGAGGCCCTGCCTGGCCTGGCCTGGGGCCTGGGGGAGGCTGGGTCTGGGGAGACCCTTCAATGTCCAGGCCTGGTCAGAAACTCAGGGCCTCTGCTGGGAAGTGAGAGTGGTGGCCCCACTGAGGCCTGAGCCCTGGTGGGGAAGGGCCAATCCCCTGGCCACCTACCTGAGGATACATTGTTGCCCTGGGTCCTGCTCACTGCTGGGCCTCTTCTGCCCCCATCTGGTTATTCCCACCTCCCTGGTCACTTGGTTACCCCAAGATGCTCCTCCCCAGGGGAGCAGTGCGGTATGTAGTCTCAGGGATAGACAGGCTGGGGGCCTAGGTGGTGTACCTAGTTGCCTGTGGGGAGGGAGGTTCAGCCCTAGCCCCTCCAGTCCAGAGCTGGGAAGGACTCTGGAAGAGCCACAGGGAAACGGGGTCCAGTGAGTGGCCACCCTGCTGGCTGGGCTAGAATTGGGAGCTGGGTGGTCAGAGGTCTGAAGCCAGAGCACCTAGAGTGTGCCAAGCCCCAGTCAGGGGTGAGATGCAGGTGTGGGGAGAGGTGCCTAGGAGGGGGAGGTCCTACCTGAGGGAGGCAGGGAGGCTGCTTGGAGGAGGAGGCATTTGAGCTGAGTCTTAAATGAGGAGTAATGCCCTGGCAGGTTTGGCTCAGCGGTTAAATGAGGAGTAAAATGTTTGCCTGGAGGAGAGAGATGGAAAGGGCAGTCCAGGCAGAGGAGAACATGCAGGCGAAGGCAGGCAGGTACAAGGAGTGTCTGGATATCAGGATGCTGGGGCTCAGGGGTGCAGTGGGCTCCTCTCACCCCCTAAACGTAGATGTTTGCCCCAAGGGTGGGTCTGTGGTCCTTATCCAGGCTTTAGGAACCCTGTCAGTGAAGCCCCATTAAAAAAAAGTTTCTATTTATTTATTTTTTTTAGAGAGAGGAAGGGAGAAAGAGATAGAAACATCAATCATTGATTGGCTGCCTCCTCCACAGCCCCCACTGGGGATGGAGCCCACAACCTGGGCATGTGCCCTGACCGGAATCGAACCGAGACCCCCTCAGTCCATGGGACAAGGCTCAATCCACTGAGCCACATTACATTGGCCAGGCAGTGAAGCCCTATTTTTATTCAGCCTACGTCTCTCTCGAGTTCTCTGACCCATAGGTTCCCAGCCTCTTGCACACCCACCACAAAAATGCCCCGAGCCCCCATCTTCCTTGAGAAACTGTTCGCTCTGCTCTCACTTTGAAATGTTCTACCCTCACCTGCCCCTCAGGGCCTGTTGAACTCTGACCTGTCCTTCACGCCTCCTTCCAATGCTGCTTCCCAAATTGAGGTCCCCTAGGATCTGGGAGGGGAGGGTGTTGGGACTGTCAGTGGAACTGAAGCCTGGAGGGGTAGGCACTCCTGTCCTGCCACCTGCCTGATGATGAGGCGGCCTCCAGGCAGCCCTGCCCCCGCCTGCCACCCCCTCCCCACCCAGCTCCCAGATTCCAGGCAGCCCTTTGGCTTTGGAGCAGTCCTCACAGCTGCACATTTAAATTTGAGGGGGTCAGCCCAGGCCAGTTTGGCTCTGCAGTTAGAGCGTCAGCCTGTGGACCAAAGAGTCGTGAGTTCGATTCTGATCAAGGGTACATACCTTGGTTGTGGTTCGTCCCCAACCCTGGTCAGGGTCGTGCGGGAGGCAACCAGTCGATGTGTCCCTCTCACACTGATGTTTCTCTCTCTCTCTCTCTCTCTCTCTCTCTCTCTCTCTCTCTCTCTCTCTCCTTCTCTTTCCCTCCCTCCCACTCTATCTGAAGATAAATAGAAAAATATCCTCAGGTGAGGATTAAAAAATAAAAATAAATATATTTGAGGGGGTCAGAGTCTCATATCAGTCCCACAGGATAGAGAGCTCAGCTCATGGGCACTGGACCCACAGTGCCCACGCAGACCTGGTGGCTGCCTAGGGACTGTCCAGGGGCTGCTCAGGGATCGCCAGGGAGGTCGGACAGAGACCTGAAGTTAGCACAAGTGTCAGGGCTGTAAATGCTGGTCTTTAGGACGGTCTCGTCGAGTGACCAGCAGCTAGAGATTTACAGAGCCTGGAACTCAGACAGGGTCTAGGTACAAGCATACAGGAGAGGACAGAGAAAGATAGGCTGGGTCACAGAGAGGGGCAGGCACATAGAAAGGCATACAGGGATAGGAGGAAAGACACACCCGGAGATGCCTGAGACACACAGGCAGGTGAGGACCAGAGCTAGTGAACAGACGGGAAGGAAGAGACACAGATGGGCGTGGCACCTATGCGCGTGGCTCCCTTACATGTAACTCTTAGCGTGTCCTCCGCCAGTCGTGATCTCAGGGCGTGGGGGGCTCACCGTCAGCCTCTCTCCATCCTTCTTACCCACCTCCCATCTTAACTGATTCACATCCTACTGAGTTTAAAGTATGCCTCCTACTCCAGGAAGCCGCACGAGAATAACATGGAATTTATCATGTTGGTACTAGGGAGCCACTGGAGAATCCAGAGCAGGGGAGGACCCTGGGGAGAGCTGTGCCAAAGTGTGGTCCACAGACAGGCAGGCAGAGCTTGTCAGAGATGCAGATGTTGGGCCCTACCCCACACCTACTGAACCCTGAATCAGGATCCCTGGGAGAGGGGAAGGGGGACGTTGCTCAAGAACCAGTGTTTTAAAAAACTGATGCACACTGAAGTTTGAGAAGTGCTGTTGCAGTATCACGGGATGCATTGAGGGTGAGGGGTGGGACAGCCTGTTATGACCATCCAGGTGAGGATTTAGCCATTTAATCGAACAAATCTTTATTGAGTGGCTGGGATGTGCCAGGCTCTGGGCTGCGTGTTGGGAGAACACAGGTCTATATTAGGGCAGAGACTATGGGGAAGGAGGAGAAGGAACGGAAGTGGGAGAAGCAGAGGAGCCTGGATTGGGGTTGGAGGGCAGAGGCACGGGTGTCATGCCCAGTTGTGCAGGTTGGCCCTGTACAGGACACCAGGAAAGGCAGTGTGTAGGGCCTGCGCTGGCTGGAATGAGAGTAGCCTTTTCTGATTGTGCTGAGGCATCGTGTGGGCCAGAGGGGGTCCTTACTGCCCTGTAAGGAAGGAAGGGTCAGAAGTGATACCCGGATTTCTGGCCTGGGCTCCTGGGAGTAGGGGAGAAGCAAATGGGGAAGGTAGTGACGGCAGTTTGGGTGGAGAGATCTAAAAGCTAGCCAGGTGAAATGCTCCGCTCGTAATTGGGCACCAGAGTCTGGGCTCAGGGAGTGGTCGTAGCTGAGCCAGAAGTGGGAGTCCTGGGTGCGGGGATTGGTGAGTGGGAAGATGCAGGAGGAACATCCACATGGGAGAGATGAGGCCTGAGCCAGCTGCCCGGGGAAGGCCTGGCCTGCAGAGCAGGCAGAGAGGAGTCTGAGGAGGAGACTTTCCAAGAAGGAGGAGAGAGGGTCTCAGGCAAACTCAGTGCTGGAGAGAAGGAGGCACCAGGGTCAGAGGGTGGGGAGAGAGCAGGAGTGCGGGTGAGGGGTAAGGACAGTTCTTTCAAGGAACTTGGATGAGAAAGGCTAGAGAGAGATGAGGGCGGCTGGGGTTGGGGGTAGGAGTTAGGCCTGAGTGGACATGGCTGGAGAGGCTGGAGATGGGGTAGGTGAGGGAGGCATCCACAGGCAGTGAGAGGCCCTGAGGAAAAGGTGTGGAGGGGCCTGGGCCTGGACTGGCAGGCAGGACGTCTTCATCTGAGACCCGGGAAAAGGGTAGGAAAGGCTGTCCAGTTTCCACAAGCTGGGAGAGAGGTGGGGAGATTAGAGGCTCAGGAACCCTGGAGCTGCCCAGTTGGGCATTTGGGGGTGGGCATCCTGCCCAACAGGTAAGGAGGGCAGTGTCTCTGTTCCTCTCCAAGATCCATAACTCCATCCTAGTCCTGAGCAGGCTGTGACCCCTGGTCAGTTTCATCTCAGGAGTAGTTGAGAAAGGCCTAGGAGGCCAGAAAACTTAGCTTTAGGGAACTTTCTCAAGGTCCTGGCCTTTGGCAGCAAGTCATCTGGATTTTGTAAGGGTTGGAGGAGATGTTGTTTTGCAGCAGGAAGAATTGAGGTTAGACTGAAGACAGAACTTCCTGGCCATCAGGGTAGCAGGACAGGGCAGCACACCTGGGGATGCTGATGGCTCAGATCATCCCAGTTAATCCTTTCACAGATGAGAATACTGAGATTCAAAGAGGTTAATTCACTTGCCCAGGATCACCCAGCTGGTGAGTAGCTGTGCTGGAATGGGAATCCAGGGCTGCCGGGACCTAGGAGGGCCTTGAGGGGCCAACCGGCTGGACCCCTGATAGGGAGAGACTGAGCAAGAAATGCTGCTCACCTGTGGAGGTGGCAGAGACAGGGCTGGAGACAGAGACATGGAGAGAAATGAGGCAGGGCCAGAGATCCAGGGAGCGAGCAGAGGGCTCGGCTGGGAGAATGGGGAGACAGGAGGCACCGGGGAAGCGAGCGGGGCAGCCGATCCCGCAGAAATGTCTCCACAACAGGAAGTGTCTCATAA